TTACAAGGCTTAATATGGAATTGTAGAGGCCTTAAAAAGAAAGGGGTCTCTACATTTCTTAAAGATCTTATTCTTGAACATCAGTTTCACTTTATAGGATTGCAAGAAACAATGTGATGATAAATTATTAAGGAAATTTTATCCTTCTCAAGAGTTTCTTTGGATGTGGAACCCATCAAAAGGAAAATCTGGTGGAATTTTAGTTGGGGTACGAATTGAGTTATATGATGTTGGCACCTTTAAGCAAGGTGAATACATGTTACAGTTAAATCTGTGGGATAAAACAAATAAGATCAAGTGGAATTTGTTGATTGTTTATGGGGCTGCACAGGAAGAAAACAAAGTTGCTTTCCTAACTGAACTCTCTAGATTCTGTTCATCAAACTCTGAACCCCTTTGATTGGTGGAGATTTCAATATAATTCGGTATGCAAATGAGAAAACACTATGGATGGTGTACATAGACATACAAACTTATTCAATTCTCTCATTCAATTCTATGAGCTAAGAGAAATTATCATGACTGAGGGGTTGTACATATGGTCGAATAATCAGGAATGTCCAGTGTTAGAGAAGCTCGATAGAATATTAGTCACCAAAGATTGGGAACACATTTTTCCTCAAGCCTTGGTCAGGAAATTACCAAGGGAGATATCTGACCACAACCCTTTAATCATTTCTTCTGGAGTTTGTGATAAATTGCCTTTCATTCAATTCAGATTTGACCTTAATTGGCTAAAGAATCCTGAATTTTTCAAAAATGTGGAAAGAATATGGCTCAAACCATGCAGAGCTGTGTCAGTTCTTGATAAGATCCAACAAAAATTGAAACTTACTAAGCAATATTTCAAGGGCTGGGGCTTTAACCTCCAGGGTGAAATGAGAAAAAAAGGAAAGAGATTCAAGTAGAAATAGTAGACCTGGAAAATTATGAGGAAACTATTGGCTTGAATGAGATGCAAATGGAAAGGAAGGTTTGGCTCATGTGTGAGAATTTTAAACTGCTTGATCTGGAAGAAACATATTAGTTTGAGAGGAGCCATGAGACATGGCTGCTAAAGGGAGATAATAACACTACATATTTTCATAGATGTGCAAATGGGCGAAAAAGAAAAAATACAATAATCTCTCTGGAAGATGGAGATCAGATAATTGAAGGAAATGACAAATTATTGGAACATGCTACCAAATACTATTCTGAACTCTTTGGCCCTGGTGTAGATTTTAACATTCAAACTGACCCTGATATGTGGTCTGAGGCGGCTGTGGTGTCTGAGGCGGATAACAATGCCCTTTGCCAACCTTTTACTGAATCTGAAGTTAAAACGGCCTTGTTTATAATGGATAGCAATAAAGCTGCTGGGCCAGACAAAATTCCCATAGAATTCTATCAATCTTGCTGGGATATCATTAAAGTGGACATTTTGAAACTGTTTGATGACTTTTTTTTCATGAAAAGGTAGATATCAGTAGACTCAATTATCGAATTATAACTTTACTACCTAAGGTGAAGGAAGCAAATAGAATTCAACAATATAGACCAATATGCTTGCTCAATTGTCTGTATAAACTTATCACCAAAACCTTGACAATCAGATTAGAGGTTGTTGCAGATAATTTAATTCACTGTAATCAAACTGTCTTTATGAAGGGCAGAAACGTAATGTCTGGGGTTTTGTGTTTACATGAGATATTACATGAGACAAAAAAGAAAAAAAGAAACTGGGGTCATTTTGAAGCTTGATTTTGAAAAAGCATATGACAAGGTTAACTGGAAATTATTATTTGAGTTCCTGGAGAAGAGAGGTTTTAGTTAGAAATGGTGTAACTAGATCAAGCAAGTGGTTACAGGGGGACAGTTAGTGTAAAAGTTAATAACTCCATTGGTCCTTACATAAAAAGTCATAAAGGAGTCGGACAGGGTGACCCCATGTCTCCAATTCTCTTCAATTTGATTGCAGTCTGTTTAACTAGGATGGTTTCCAAAGCTCAACAGAATGGCCTAATCATAGGACTGATTGATCACATCATATCCCATGGGGTGGCAATTCTACAATATGCAGATGACACGATTATTTTCTTAAAAATGATATGGAAGGGCTGTTAATATGAAATTTCTGTTATATGTTTATGAGATGATGGCTGGACTCAAAATCAATTTCAATAAGAGTGAAGTTATTATGATAAATGATGAAGGTAATTGGGGCAGGCATATGCTGAGTTGTTTAACTGCCAGATTGGCTTGTTCCCTCATCAAATATCTAGGGGTCCCAGTGAGTCCAAGTAGGCTCCATGTTGGTGACGGGCTTCCACTTATTGACAAAAGTCTCAAGAGGCTGGATGTGTGGAAAGGTGGATGTATGTCAATTGCTGGCAGGTCCACACTTATTAGTTCCAGTTTGAATAACTCTCCAATTTACCACATGTCTTTGTACTTATTACCCAAAACAGTAGTGGAAAGATTAAACAAAATCAGAAGAAGTTTCTTCTGGCAAGGAGGGGGACAAAAGAAATATCATTTGGTTAAATGGGAAAAGATTTGCAAAAGTAAGAAAAAGGTGGTTTGGGAATTAAGAATTTGAGAAAATGAACATTAGCTTACTAAGTAAATGGTGGTGGAAACTTGAAAAGAAGAAGGGCTATGCCAGGATATCATTAGATACAAATATTTGAGAAATGACACAATTCATAGTGTTGCACATATACTGAATGATTCATCTGTATGGTATGATATGCTTAAAGTGAAAGAAATCTACTTGCTTGGCAGAACAGTGTGGATTAGAAGTGGAAATATCACCAGATTCTGGAAGGATGCATGGTTGTACCAGCAGTCCATCTGTGAGATTGCCCCAGTGCTATTTGAGCTCTGTGATCAGAAAGATATTACTGTTGATAAGATGAGAAGTGGAGAGGTTGCTATGACATTTAGAAGAGGGCTTCCTAAAGATCTGAGAAATAGCTGGGAACACATATGGAGGGATGCTTCTTCCTTTCCCTTGAATGAACGAGTCTGATAGGATATTCTGGGCTCTAGGGAAGAATAAGAAGTTCTCTGTTAAGTCAGTTTATAATGCTCTGACAAGTTCTGACGGTGGTTTATATCATAGGATGATCTGGAAAGGGAAAGTGCCGGCAAAAATCAAAATTTTCATGTGGTTATTAACCAATAATGCAATTCTAACTAAAGACAACTTGATCAAAAGAAAATAGAAAGGTGACCCTGAGTGTTATTTCTGTAGAAGTCCTGAAAACATCCCTCATCTGTTTTTTCAATGTTCTGTGGCAAAAACAATCTGGGCTATCATAGCAAAATGTTTTGGAGCTAATACCATTCCAAAAAACCTGGACCAATGCTGGAAATGGTGTGATAAATGGCTGCCATTTGGTAAGAAGTATCATATGTGCGGGATCGCAGCTATTTGCTGGGCTATCTGGAAGGCACGAAATGAGGCATGCTTTGAGAAAGTTGTTATTAAGAATCCTATTGAAATATTATACCATGTTTGCGCACTAATGAGATATTGGGCAGGTCTCTACTCTGAACCAGACAGGAAGCAGCTAGAAGATGGTCTGAATACAATGCTCCAGATAGCGAACAAGATTTTGAAGCGGCAGAAGAAAGGCGATGACAATTCAGGTCAGCTGCAGGATGGTGATTCTGATGGACAAGACAACGCTACAGCGTGAGGGCTGGGAGATGAATAGTGGTGAAAGCGGCGTCCTACAAGTCGTCATTGTTTTCAGTCTCTTTTGATGTATATATGCTGAAGTGTTCCTTGGTGCTGTCTGTGACTCTCTTTAAACTCTCCTTCTGGTGGAGCGATGTGAGAGCCGGAGAGTCCTGGTAGGCAGTTTAGGCCCTCTGCAGTGTATAGCTTAAGTAGTGTCAAAAAAGAGAGAAAATCTGAGCACCGCTCTATACACTGCAGCAACCGATACCAGTGCCTAAAATTTCTGGAGCGGATCAAGTAGTTGCTCCGCTGTCTACTTCTGCCTTATGAATTAAATAATCAAAGCTGGATGCTTTTGCCTAGTACTCCGTACATCAGATAGATTGATGTAGTATTTTATATGGATGCTAGCACACTGTGGCTTGATGATGCCAGTTCCGATGAGCCTAGGTGTATCGAAAATTTTTTCAGGCACCACTGGTACGCAGTGGAGGGCCTTTACCCTGTTCGTTTTGTCTAGGTGGTTTATAAACCGGCTGATACTATTTTGATGTGAGAGAAAAATACTATATTATGACTGATAAGTATGGCTGATACGATCAAACGAAGAAGGTGCTTAGGCCCTGTTTGGTTTCTACAGGTGCTCCTAAAATTTCTGTGACATCAAATATTTAGACACATGTATGAAGTATTAAATATAGACTAATTGCGAAACTAATTACACAACTTGCGACTAATTTGCGAGACGAATCTTTTAAGCCTAATTAATCTAGTCTCCATCTATATAATTGATTATGTAATTAATCTATATTTAATGTTTTTTATTAATATCTAAATATTTGATGTAACATGAATTTTTGGAACGACTAAAGAACCCAATAGCCCTTTAGGTTTTGCTGCTCTCAGTCATCGTAGCATGGGTTGCCTAGTCAGCAGTTTCGATCGCAGGTTACTGGGACTCACTTCTGCGTACTGTTCTCTGTCTTCTGTCTACACAAGCTCTGTATTTCCGTTAATCTTGGTTAATGGAAATGGGAAATGTTCTCGGTTGGAAAAAATATTTATTTATTGTGAATATAGGAAAAGCCGTTTTATAATTTGCAATAACAATATATTTGCCGTACCCAGGCCGCATCTTTCGATATATCAGAAGACCTATTACATTTTGATTTTCTCGTTGCATAAATTTGAGTGTTCAAATGAACACGCGGCCTCGTATAGAGTATAGATCCGCAATAAACCTCTTGTCTAAAATCCACTCTTATCCACAGGGCCGCGCACGCGCATGAGCTCTACCTGCCTTCTTCCAATCCAGCCCACCATCCGCGCCATGGCGATGGCGTTCGCGACCGCCTCCGCCTCCGCCTCGAGCGTCAGTCTCACAGCCTTCTCCCTCCCGCTGCCCCAGTCTCTGCACCGCCCGAGCCCTAGCCACGCCCTCCATGGCGCGACCAGCTCGTTCCCGCGGCCACGCCGATGCGGGTGGGGCGCCGTGGTGCGCTGCGCGAAGCGCACGGGGAAGCGGCGGTACCCGTCGGAGAAGAAGCGGCTGAACAGGCGACAACAGGAGCTGCTACGCCAGGCCGCCCCGGAGGAGGGGAGAAAGGGGCGGGAGTCCGGGTACTGGCGGCTCTCGAAGCTCGCCGTCCCCGCCCGCGACGACCCAGGCAAGGACTTCACCGGCATCTCCCTGCCGCTACTCCAGGCCATCGCCAAAGCCATCAAGTTCCCGGTACGCTAATCAACCACCGCTTTAAATCGATGGGACAGTTTAATTCGAAATGCCCTGCAATTGCGAGTTTTTTAGTGAACCACCGATAGCTTACTGAAACAGAGGTTTGGTGCGTTGAACGGTAGGCTTGAGCCTGCCATCTTGCTTAAAAAAATGGTAGGCTTGAGACTTCATGCATTCGACGATGCTTAACTTTGAATGCTGGTAGAATGTGTAGCTGAACTTGGTTACTGTCATTTAGCTAACACAGGATCGTATCTTCTCTTGGCATGTGCACAGTCCCATTTTTCTCTCTTGAAGAAGCAGGAGAGCTACGTATCATTGAATTAAGAAGAAAAAGGGTAAGAGCCTTTACAAACACACACCACACAAAAGGTAAAAGCCAGGGGCAGTAGTTTAATTACAGTGAAAAGCACACGACCCCGACCTAAACTCCACAGTTGTCCGGCTGAAGTGTAAAGAGATAAGATATGCCTCACGCTCCATGGCTCCAGCCAAACCCCACAAATGCGGCTCCTCACTAGCGAGCAAAAGAGCTGTAGCCAGGTTAGGAGATGCCCCATCAAACACACAACTATTGTGGTGCAGCCACAAGGTCCAGGTTCCTAGTCAGTGGTGGAGCTAGAGAAATATGGAGGGGGGTGCGGCAATATGGGCTTACTTCATAGCACGACTTTATATTGGAGAATCGATTGTCCTCTCTCGTATCAGCAATATAGAGGCAAAGTTGGTGGCTAAGATCCCTTAAATCTCTAGAGCTAAAATCATTAGAATACAATTTTGCTAGGTTCATCAAAATCTCCACATTAAAATCATGAAATGAATCTCTTGGATTTAAAGCAGCTGAGCAAACAAGCAACTGAGAGCTTGTCTCACTAAAACGGCTATCAAGTTCTTGAACTAGCTTCCAAAAGATTTTTTTTTCACTAATACCAATTTTCATCACAGAAAGAATCAAACATCCTAACCCTAGAATATGAACAAATAATCAAGAAGGCTTGAACCAAGAAATTGAAGCCAATTTAGATACTTAGATTAATCGAAAATTGAAAGTAGAGCCGCGGCCGGCCACGGGCCACGGCTGCCTGGCCTCAGGAGTTTGCGACTTCAGAGGTAAGTGATGAGGCGTGGCAAGTGGGAGAAGCTGAGAAGGGCAGAAGGGAAGAGAGCGCACGGGAAGGCAGGCAGAGCGCGTCAAGGCGCGCTGCAAGAGGCGAAAGAGTCAGAATGGAGTTCTAGCTTCTAGGTATGTTGCTTTGTTGGGCTGCATGTTGGCTAAGCTGGGCTGTGGGTGCAGACATTTGGCCCAAAGGGGCAATGAATAGGGTAGAAACTTGTATACTAGAACGTATTCCGCATTTTGGTTCTGGGTGCGCCGCACCCACATAGATCAATATGGATCCGCCCCTGTCCTAGTATAATAAGAGAATTGACACCCTTCTGAAATTGATTGTTAACACCGGAAGAGAAATTGTTCCACCACTCTTCCAACAAAGCAATCATCCGGCTGTGGCACAGAAATGGAGACGAGACCAACCTTCTGCAGCAACTGAAGCCAAAACTCACGTGCAAAAACACAGGATAGCGAAAGATGGTTGATTGTTTCCACAGATTAATCACAGTGACGGCACGCAGAAGGATGTGGGAGTCCTCACTGAGCAAGGCGGTCAGCCATCCAGCAACGATCATGAGTGACCAGCAATAAAAAGAAACAACATCCATTTCTTTGGGTGCCTATTTTCTTCATATTGAAACACTGCCTCGTTCCTCCTAGGTTAGTCTCGTGCACAATCCCTTAAGTCGGTAGCCACCTTTTTCAAGTAGTTAGACTTGTGGTATGCAATTTGTTTTGCTTGAGTTTTAGGAACTGTCCCGGAATTAAGCTAGTTTAAACTGACATCTACTCTTTGACTCTTCGTAGCCACTTGCACCATCCCTCAATGTTCGCGCTAAACCTTCTTTTGAAATCGGTTCAATTATAGTTCTGACGAATGTAGGTTTGGCACTAAGGTAGGGTTTGCAATTGGATTAACATCTGCATGTTTTAAGGTAACGGTAACATTGCCGGGCTGCATTATGAACCTGCATAGAATGAATGTGGTAAGTTAACTGGTAGGATGAGTGTTGTACTGTTGTACTACCCATATACAAACTTATAATCCAAATGGTCGCCTGCTTGGATCTGCCTTGCTCTCTCATTATTTCATAGTACAGCGTTCATCTTTTATGCTGTCATTGTTGTGGTCGAGACTTGTGCTGTGATTATGTCTCTAATTGATTCTGCTGTGCTTCAGGTTCCTTCTATGCTTCCTGATGAGGCTTTCACTGTCATCCGCAAGTCATTCGACGCATACGAAAGGTTCTTCATGGGGTGATATCATATTGGGATATGTATGCTTGATGTTGAAACTACTGAAACGATTCATATAAATTGGATTACAAAGGCCCAAATAGGCAAATAGACATGATGTTAAGAAACAATATAGTAAGATTCACCATGCATCTCCTGATCTCCATAGTTAAGTTGTCAGCGTTCTATTGGTGGTTCTGTGCTCCCACTCAGACTGGAAGGCAACATTTTGCCTTTTTCATAGTTATTCACCCATTCTAGGCATCCCCCATGTCAGCAATTTGTTGAGTGCAATAGTAATGACATTATGGTCTTATGAAAATTGTGATCTTCTGCAATAGTGATAGTATTTTGTCATATCTGCTTGCTCCAAAGTCCAATCAACTAGTTTATCTATGTACTTATCCTTTCCTAGACATATTTATATGGAATTCATCATACAAAACTGGATTAGTTTGCACCGCATATGTAACTGTATTTACTTCTATTAGTATCAGAAAATGGATATATTTGTTCATACCATCAATAATAAATATGTGTGACTTCTACAGGTTTTGAAAGAACCTCAGTTCACTTACATTGTTGATATGGATGTTAAGAAGATTCTTGATATAGAGCCAAGGGCATGGGATTTTATTGCTCGGTTGGAGCCCAAACTTGGAGCTGTAGAATACATGCCTGAAGAGAAGTTAGCAGCTGATCTGGTCAGCATGCTCAATGTTAATAACAAAGGTTCCAATAATGTACTAGGAATCAGGGATACTCATAGTGGTATGATTTATCATCAACAAAAGAAGCCGAGAGTGGCAGTTATAGGAAGTGGACCATCTGGCTTGTTTGCTTCCCTTGTGCTAGGTGAACTTGGTGCAGAAGTTACCTTATTGGAGCGTGGTCAGCCTGTTGAACAGAGAGGTCGTGACATTGGTGCGCTAGCAGTTAGGCGAATCCTACAATCAGAGAGCAACTTTTGCTTTGGCGAGGTATTCTAGTGATTCCTAGTTTTCTACTAAGACATTACAAAATGATCAGTGGGGTGAGTTGCCTTTGTTAAGCAACATTGAAATAGGTAATTTGTTGATTTAGTGTATTTAAAATGAGCTATGTATGTTGATTTAATAATCTGAAAAATGAAGGCATACATGTTCCTGATGAACTGAATGAATTATAAAAAAACATTGGATCGTTTAAGGATGTTCCTGATGAACTGAATGAATTATAAAAAAACATATGGATCGTTTAAGGATGTTCCTGATGAACTGAATGAATTATAAAAAAAAAACATTCAGTTGTAACCTTTCATACAACCTTTCCATTTTGGGAAGCTGTTTTCATGCACACATTTACTACACTAAACTATTTTCTTACGTACAATTAAAGCCAACTCACACTGAATTATCGAGTCTAACAATTTGTGAACTCCTTTCTTGATTAAATGAGTCTTGCCTTTTTTATGAATTATCTGGACCCTTTATATGCTTATACTTGTTTAGTCTGATACAAGTAGTACTTTTGGCATGAGATAGGCCCCGGAACATGATTTTGGAGTATCAAGAACCCATTTGGGTACTAAAAGGAGTGATCAAATAATTAATCCAGTGTTCATGTTCCTTCAAATCTTAAGGCCATCGATTCTTGATCTTCTGTTCTTAATCATAACAGGGTGGTGCAGGTACATGGAGTGATGGGAAGCTGATGACCAGGATAGGAAGAAACACTGATGGTGTTCAGGCTGTGAGAACCTTCCTGCCTACATCAATCTATTTTCAGTATAAAGCTTTACTCTCATAGTCTGATATATCATTTTCTCAGTAGTGCACTATTTTTTCACGATGTCCCGGCGTGAGAAACTTCCTACTGTACCTCAACCTCAAATATTGTTTTGTGTAATAGTCTACTTTCATGTTCCAATTGTTCAAGAGCTCATGACTTTTTTTGAATGAAATCGCTTTGATATTTGTCCAAGTTTTTTGGGCGTACCCAGTGCAGAGAGCTCCCGCTCTATGCAGGGTCTGGGGAAGGGTGTCAGTGGCAAGCCTTACCCTCGCCTGTGCAATGCGAGGAGACCACGACTCGAACCCAGGACCTTCCGGTCACAGGCGGTAAGACTCTACCGCTTGCACCAGGCCCGCCCTTCATTTGTCCAAGTTTTTTAAACAGCATTTTTTTATAAGGGATTTTTAAACAGCATTGTTAGCCTTTTAGGACCTGTCAATCACCAGGAGACCAGGTTCTAGATTCCATGGTATCAGACAAGCTAATGGCACTGATGGATATGCTGACCAGTTCGGACGATTTTAGCATAAACTTTTTGTTTGCGTTCATTGCAATTTATTTTCTTCAGAGATGTGCCTCATTGCCTCCTGATCGAAGGAACTTGTGCTGTGATTTTTTTTTTTGACTACACAGGAGAGCGTGTGTCATTTCATTAAGAAGAGTACCAAATGTACAACACCAAGACACCACACACCAAACCCACCCTTGCACTAGATCACAATGAGCAAGCAACCCACCTTCAATCACAGAAAAAGACCACAAAGAACAGAAAACAGAACCTAGATAAGGTTCCGGATGCCCTGAGCCCTGGTTAAGCTCCATAGGGCTCCTTCCTCTTCTAACCACCAAGGAAATATTTGGAAGCATTGTTGAAGACTCGGTCATTGCGGTATTTCTAAATCTCCGATGCGATTAAGATGATCAGGGAGCCGAGGCCATTTCTGTGTAGCCTGTCCACTGACTTGACTGCACGGCTCCAACAACAGGAGAATTTAAGTTTTGAATTTTTTAAGCCTCTTTAACTGATTTATCAGGCATTTTCTACAGTTGAGCTTTGAACACATTGGTTATTTTAGTTACCGTAGGTCTTGGATTGCAGGTTATGAAAACATTTGTTCACTTTGGAGCCCCTCCAAACATTTTAGTTGATGGTAAACCACACTTGGGTACTGATAAACTTGTTCCACTGCTGCGAAATTTCAGGCATCACTTAAGAGAGTTGGGTGTAAGTTTCAGCATATATGTGTTTATTGAGCTATGTAGTTTCTTTTGTTCTGCAGGATCCATTGCATTGATGCACCATATTCCTTTTTTTTACAGGTTACCATAAGATTTAATGCTAGAGTAGATGACCTTATAGTGGAAGATGGGCAGGTAAAAGGAATTGTGGTCTCTGATGTGGAAGTACGGCCAGGTTCTGCCAGCCAGAAACTAGCATTTGATGCAGTTGTATTGGCAGTTGGTCACTCAGCTCGTGACACATATAGTATGCTTTGGCAGCATAATGTAGACATGAGCCCAAAAAGTTTTGCTGTAAGTTGCCTATGCTATTAAAATCGTATTCTAGGTTGATATCACTTACGTTGGTTGTATCAAGTGGTCACATGGCAGACAATTTATAATGGAAGATATGAGGCCATGCTTTTTAAAATGCAAAAGCTCATTGGGTGGCATTGTGGATATTAAAATTTAAAATGATGTAGCACACATCCAATTTATGAGACAACCTGCTAATCCTGTGGATTAGAAACTAATGAGCTTCTGAACATTTCACCATAGCTTATCAATGTTCTTTATTTTAACAATATCCCAGTACCCTATTTTACTTTCCAGCCTCAAATACAACTTTCACATGCAATGTTGCTAGTAATAACATTTTGTGCACCCACACAAATCGCACAGCTTCCTTAGAAATGCCTAATGTGAATTCATTTTTTGACTAAACTGGGCCATAAGTGTTTGGAGATTCTCCCCCTTGTAGCCTTTTATCAACTGTCATTCGCTTTATCCTTGCAAGTTACACTACTAAATAATAATTGCTTACACTTCAGTTCATGTAACTTAAAGTCAAAGAGTTCTTGTTTACAGGTTGGCTTAAGAATTGAGCATCCCCAAGAACTGATAAACAGTATCCAAGTAAGACCTTTTCTTTATTCTGATCATCTTCTTTCTGGATGACACTGTCCAGTGTGCTTACCATTATTTTTTTTCTCAAATGCGCAAGAGAGTTGTGTATCATTTCATTAAGAGAGAAGGAATTGTAATTTTACCTTTATTACATGTATGATATTTGATGTTCAAGGCTATTTTCGAATGAGGAAAATTAAAGCCAAAGCCAACTATGCGAGGTTTAGAGTGTTAACTTGTTTCTGAGTGATCTGTTAGTAATCAAGGAAACAATAAAGAAACAGCCTATTGTTTCCAAGGTCTTTCACCCAGTTTTGTAATGCAGATAGCAGCTTGGATAGTTATCTTTTAAACAGAGAGCAGGGTAGCCTGTGTACTACAGGCTAAGGAACATGTGTCGTACTTGAATGAATTCACTTACAATTATTAGACAGGACACTGAAGCATGGTACTGTGCCTTTGTTCCCGGGCTGCGACCAAGGGTCAGCCTTGGCCCAGGGTAGCTCAAGCTTTGCTTCCATCAGTGATTCTGCTGTTCAGTGATAAAGTAATACTAGGGTGAAAGCAGCGATGGAAATCCATCAACTGAATCATTTCCATAAAATATGAAACATGGAGAAATGGAGATGCAAATTGCCGGAAACAATAGTGGAAACAAAATGTACTATTTTAATATTTTGAAGTATCTGCTGTGCTCCTTTGATGTATCTGCACATTGTGGGCTTGGTAAATAATGATTTAATGCTCAACTACTTGTCTGTTTGGTGTAGCTAAAGCATATGATGCATGCTATTGCTAATGTCACAAATTGCAGTACTCCGAACTGGCGGCTGAAGTACAGAGAGGACGTGGGCGGATACCTGTGGCAGATTACAAAATAGCGAAGTCTGTTGGTGAAAGAGACGCAGCAAATGAAATTGGCATAGCTGAGCCAAGTCGTAGTTGCTACTCGTTTTGCATGTGCCCAGGTGGACAGGCAAGGCACTCGCTCTCTCCCTCCCTCCCTCCCCTCTCTGATATTCCATTTCGTAGTACTATGACGTTCCATTCAAATTTTTGAGACATGCATTCAGGTTGTTCCAACCAGCACAAATCCATCCGAACTGTGCATCAATGGCATGTCGTTCTCACGGCGTGCATCAAAGTGGGCAAACTCAGCTCTTGTAGTCACTGTATCATCTCATGATTTCAAGCCATTTCAATCCCATGGTCCTCTTGCTGGTGTTGAATTCCAGGTACTTGTTATATGAGAATTATGTGTGATAACAACAGAACCACTCAAATTGCTGTAGTAACTTGCTAATGTCTACCTGTATTCAAATAGTGTACATTCAGTAAGCAACACGCTAGAATAATCACAGATGTCGCAACTCGCAAGAGGTTTTCTGACAACCTGGAAACATATTTGTTCCTCATGCTTGAATCAAATATTTTGGCTCCATACAACCTGGAAACATATTTGTTCCTCATGCTTGAATCAATTATTTTGGCTCTATACAACCTGGAAACATATTTAGTACAATTTGATTTGAGATATAAAGGCAAGGACTCCAACTAGGGTGATCTTACTGGTTAGTGGCCGCTCCATCACTCTGCAAACGCGCTTGTAGAAGTTCTGTATCCAAGTTGGGTAGGAAAGACATGATAAACTATCCATATTGTCTGATCAGTTTGATCTTTTCTTTAACTAAAAAGATAAAGTTGACTTGTTAGCGGTTCTCAAAGGATATCAAAGGAATAATTCTAGGGAGTTACTTAGCTAATTTTCTGTTATGGTACTGTAACCTTGTGATTACTGTTTGTGTATCTAATTTTAGATAAAGACTCAAATGGTCAAGTGGGTGGAAAATATAGAATTTTGTGCAAATAATGTAACAAATTACTGCCCACCTTTGTTCATCAACTTAAGCGTTTGAATGGACTGGCTCATACATTCAGCTCAACAATAATTAATGTAAAATAATGACAGCTTAAATCACTGCCATCCATCTTAAAGTTTACGATGGATGTGCATTATGTTCTAGTATGAAATGTATGAGTATAGAGAATGTTCTACAATTTTTTTCTTCATTTGTAATGCATTTTAATGGCAAAGTTTCCCTCCTTAAGCTCACAAAAAATTGGTACTCATTGAAACCAGAGAGAATTTGAAAGAAGAGCAGCTATGATGGGTGGAGGGAATTTTGTTGTTCCTGCACAGTGTGTCACCGATTTTATCAGCAACAGACTGTCAGGTACTGACATTGCTAAAACTTTTAAGGTAGTAAGTAATCATTTAGTTTTACTTTGATTAACCTGGTTGTCTGTTCCAGTTACAACACTGCCACCATCAAGCTACAGATTAGGAGTTCGTCCATCTAATCTCCATGAGCTATTCCCTCCTTACATAACTGAAGCTTTACAACAGTCAATAATAATGATTGACAGAGAGGTATGACAATTCTTATTTTGTGTTTGTTTTATGATTCAAATCCCACATGTGGTGATTCATTTGTAATGCAATATTTTCAGATGCCAGGCTTTGTTTCTAGCAAGGCCCTACTTCATGGTGTGGAGGTATGCAAATTGCTCTGCTCTTTCCTATGATTCTTCACCTGATAAATTTCTAAACGCCAACTAGTTAGACATGAGAAAGTCTACTTGTAGTTTGATAACGACTCATTAATCATTTGCCCGTATCTCCTATCAATGAAGTTTTATTTTCACCCTCCAGTGTGGGTTCATTTGTGTGTGTTTTGGTGCTGATCTATTCTCAGTGTTGTTCTTAATGCCATGATACCCAGCTTTCCTGATTATTTGAGAAAAGAATATTTCCACCCTCTGGTTACTTTTATGCTTATTGTTTAAGATCTGTTTCCAGACTAGGACAAGTTCTCCCTTACAAATTTCACGACATGGAGAAACATACGAAAGTACATCACTGCGAGGATTATATCCAATTGGGGAAGGTGCTGGCTATGCTGGGGGCATATTAAGTGCTGCTGTGGATGGTATGTATTGTGGTTTTGCTTTAGCTAAACAACTTTCTCTATTCCACGGTGATATAGAGTCATTTCTTGGCAAAGCACAAAAACAAACAGGTTTTGTAAAGTATTGAATGCCAGTGCCTAGTATTTTATTGGTCCAAAATTTTGGGGAATGATTCTCGCCATGGTAGCTTTATATCATAGGACAATTTTGTCATGTTTAGAGCAGCTGTGATTGCCTTACTGAATTCATCAACTAATTTGTGCACGGTTGATGTAGAAGGGCAGAGCAAAGCAGTGCAGTGGTGCTGTAGGTGAATGTTCTGGTATAGATATAGCTATGTAACAAATAATTTGTAGTTTCCTATGTGGATGCCACCTTAATTTTGTGAAGACAATTCACCAAGCATAATCTGAGTTTTCTTTTGTTAAAAATTGATTAACGGTGTCTTTGAACCAACTTTTTTGTTGGAGAAGCCCAATTACTTCTGTAGAGTTCCCGTTTATGTTTTGTTGACGCAAGTATAGATCACTAGATCACAAGACTATAGGAGCCCTGTTGAGGTATGCAGTTCTTATACACTGATGTATGGTGTTTATGTCCATAGATGGAAATGAGTGTTCAAATATGTACTACCTACAGTCATAAATGGCCTATGGGTAGTCAACAAGTTCAAACTTTTGTCATCATTATCTTTTTTCGGAACGCAATTTGTCATCATTATCTATTTGAATATTTGGATTAAACTTATGAAAATGATGTGAGATTAGTTTCAGAATATTATGACGTGAAAACCTGAAAATATTATCTCTTTGAATATATTTTGTCACGTAGAGTAGCTGTGATTACTGATTTGTCTTGACGCCATCTTTTTGTTACGTCAAGTATCGTGTACGTATACGGGTTTTGTGCTAATAATTACTCGCGGCTAATGTGTCTTGGTGACCATGTCGCTATCTGGAGTAGCATTTATTTTATTTTATTTATTTTATTTATGACTAGAGAGAGTAGTTAGTGGAACCGACATGCCCACTCTAAGGTGACAAGTTTGTCACTTCCAATAGTGAGACTACCTGCTAACTCTAAGGTGTACGTATCTATCACATTTATCTCAATAAGAGTTATCATAAAAACATCACTTCTTCAATGGCTTGATTTTAAATATTCTCCAAAAGACCAAACCTAATGTGGGTTCCAACTTGCAGAAGAAACCTAAGTATCGGTCTAGTAAACATCAAGAGGGTAAGCTAGACATCTGCCTCCTTCGGGTCCTTCCTCTCCCACTCTCCGCTCATATAATAGAAAAAAAAAATGACGGATCATGTGTGTGTACTCCTTGTCGGGGGATGGCTCGGGGTTATACTCTCTCCGTATCACAATTAGAAGTCGTTTAGGACAGGATTATGCTTACCAAGGAGTGCCAAAGAGTGATTAATTAGGGGGGAGTTTTCCTTCTTTGCCCTTATTAAATAGGACTGTGGGTGTCTCCTATACAACAATTCCTCATAGTCCGAATGGTAAGCGATCTGCGGACCAAGGCTGGAGGTCCAGCGTTCGAATCCCTTGGCCGCACTATTTTTTTTTGACACTCGTGGGAATTTGCATGGCGCTGTGCACGCTCGCTGCTTGCTCTCGCATGCACGCTGGTTGCGCGCTATGCCGCGCGAATTTTTTCAGTTGCCGCATGTGTAGACTTTTTCGTTCACTCTTTGTTTCGCCTGGGCGTGTTTTTTTTGTTCGTTTGGCGCTCAGCGCTCAGTAGGTCGAACGGTTCGGCTGTCTGCAGTATTAAAACGCCGGCATTGGTTCGACTGCCTGGAGTACTACTGCCTTGCGACTTCGACGTGATGGAGTCCGGCACCATCGTCTCCATCTCCGAGGACAGCGAGGCATCCATCGACGTGGCGTGCGGTGAACGGCGAGCGCGCAAACGGCGAGCGGCATGCGGCGTGAGGTGGAGATGGTGTGCGGTGGCGGCAGCCGCGCGTGTTCTTAGCGGCGAGCGGTTGGCCTATTGATGCCGCGAGGGAAGCCAAGGGATCGATCGGGCTCTTAACGCGCGGCGCGGGATGCGAAGCGCGAGCTCTTAACGCGCGGCGAGGGATACGAAGCGCAAGGGGCAGCATCGTCCAAACTTTGCGTTGGAGGCCAGAACGACTTCTAATCGCTCAGATCCGTCCGTGGCCAGAACGACCGCTATTTGCGATACGGAGGGAGTACACTTCTATAGTGCTGACAAGAGGTTATGTGGACCTATCCTAGGTAGGTGTCAACTTGTTCGAGGCCACACCCTGGGCCGTATCGATTCGAGGTAGGCGTGTTACCTGATGATAGTACTCCCTCACTTCAAATCATATTAAAAATGCCCGCGTTCAAAATTTCATCAGCGACGCTAGCCCTCGTCGGGACGCCCGCGTCTACCCCACCGCGCTGTTCGCCCTGTCTGCAGCGGCTCACCTTCTCCTGCGTGCCCACCCTAGCGTTGAGCACCCACAGCACACGTCCTGCTCCCTAAGTCTCCCATGTGCTAGCAGCTCCCTCTCTCTACTGCATACATGCAGCTGCAGGAGTGGCAGCAATTTTTCCTGCGCATGCATGGTTCCCATGCGAATGGGCTCCACTCATGAAAAAGGGTGCTTGCCCTGCCTGCAACTGTTGCGCCTGCACGCCCGACCCCGCACACCACATGCAACTGCTGTGCCTGCACGCTTTGCACGTACGTATGCAGTTGCGCGCCACATGCTTGTTGATGCGCACGCAGGTGGGGACCGCATCACATGCCTGTTGACGGGTCACACGCCCGCTTCGCTTGCCGCGCACATGGGGACCGCTACGCCCGCAGGGACCACATCTGCACGCGCCCGCTTCCTACGCCTGCTAAATGTTGCAACATGAAAGCACTTCTACAACATACGTCTGAAACAAGTAAAACATTTACAAGCATACGTTTGCAACATATGTGCATAGCAACTACAAACATCCATATAAATACACTTGCAACATACGTCTGAAACAGATAAAACATTTTGAATAGACGCTTGCAACATAGCAACATCCAGATGAAACACTTGCAACATACTTCTGAAACAGGTGAAACATTTGAAACATACATTTGCAACATACATGTATAGCCACTGCAACATATGCAATATCTAGATAAAACACTTGCAACATACATTTGAAACAGCAGAAACATTTGAAACATACACTTGCAATATACGTGTATAACCATTGCAACATATGCAACACATATCTGAAACGCATGAAACATACGGTTGCAACATGTGCTTATCTACTTGCTGTCGCCCAATGGCGGCTAGTTGACGTGACGCGGGGAGCGAGGCGCGGGCGGGGAGCGAGGCGCGGGCGGGGTGCGCGGCACGAGGCGGGTCCGGTGCGACCGTGTGAGGCGCGAGGCGCAAGGGCGCACGACACGAGGTGGGTCCTGCGCGAGGCGCAGGGGCGCGCGGAGCGAGGCAGGTCCGTCTCGTCCGGATGGACAGACGCCCTAATAGGAGCATTACCGAAAACTCAACCTTTTGAACATTGACTAATCTACGCCATATTTTTTTCTAGATCTAGCGCGCAAAATAACATTATGATACTTTTTTTAGATTTAAAGCGCAAAATAACATTACGATCTTCTAAATCGTTTCATACCATAGTATTTTGCAATGCAACGGAACATGCTCACCTTATTGCGTGGTCAATAGTTTATCAAACTATTGTGGCTAGATTTTTATAACGATCGCGTCATTTGTTCCAATACTATATCGGAATCGGACTCTCTACCGTCGTTGGATACAATAACACGCACGCGCATGGATCGTGAGCCTAGGTCTGCCAGGAGAAACATGGAGCACTTTGGAAAGTAAAAAAGACGTCGACTGGCTCTTTAATATTAGATATATAGTTCCTATGATTGTCTTTAGTAGGAAGAAACAGTAGAGCGTTTTTTGTGGTGCACAGGAGAGGATAAATTGAGGGTCCTTCAATTGGTGAGAGGTGTAGATGTTTTTATCAGCGGAAGGAAATGAGAGGTACATTTCGGCTTTGTTGGAAACTAGGAACCGATGATCCTCCTTGCAACTCTAGGAGTTGCTCCTCTCTTCAAAATTTCTTGGTTCTAACATGTTTAGAATCAAGATCGGAACTGGTTGTGCTATGTCAATATTCCTTCACTCAATCTTTTCATAACTATGAATGACATCAAAACCTCTATGGATCAGATGATAGCAGAGGTCGAAGCTCTCTGTCTTCTTCATCGCTATCTTTCAGAGGTTGAAGCTCCACATGCTTCTCTTCGCTTCCTTTCTCCTCTCTGTCATCTGTGCCCTCTTGGTTTACTACCTCTAACTTCTTGTATGTGTATAGCTTTGCACATATGACGAAGTAAACAACGTTTATCACCTGCAGTGTCACTACCAGCCAGTAGTATCGATCCAGCTTCCCTCTGTTGAGGTTGTCCTGAAGCCACTCCCCTTCTCCCTTGGTCCTCTCGTGCACCGTCGTCACGATCAACGTGCCCATATAGCTCCCGGCGGACATTGTCAGCCAGTACAGCGCGGCGGCGGAGCTCCGCATGCTCTCGGGTGCCTGGTCGTACAGGAACTCCATGCGGCCAACGTCCATGAACGCGTCGGCCATGCCGTGGATGGCGTACTGCGGCGCCATCCAGAACACGCTCATCGGCACGGTCGCGCCAGGGCTGTCCAGGAGGCCGTGCCTGGCCGCCGTCCGCTTCCTCTCCGCCTCCGACCGCGGACACTATGTTGCTCAGCATGCTGATGGTGAGGCCGATGCCCGTGCGCTGAAGGTGCGTGATGCCCGTGGGCTGCCCCGTGAGGCGTCGCAGCCATGGCACCAGCACCCGATCGTAGAGCGCGAGGGTGGCAAGCATGGCGATGTTTGAGAAGATGAGCATGGAGGCTGGTGGTATCTCGAGGTGTGCTGTGAGGCGCCTGTCCATGGTGCGCGCCTGCTGGATGGCGAAGCTATGGTTGTGGGACGCCGAGGTGACCAGGAGGATCCCGGCGCCCCAGATGGGGCAGCATGCGGATGATCGATTTGAGCTCCTCCAGCCGGTGCACCGTGGACAGCCGCTGCTGGTCAAGTCGCCGTCCGTCACGGTTGCAGCCCGGTCAAAAAAGCTAAAGAAAGAGGTTTTAATTTATATCTTATTAGGCTCGCACAAGATATAACATATCCATCTATTTGTTTGTGTAGAAACAAATTAGTAAGGAGACTTACGTGAGCTGGTTGGTGTGGAGCAGCCGTCCGGCAGTGGAGATGCCAGCGTCGAGCACCTTGTCATGGTACAGGAGTCTGGGGTCGGTCGGCACGGTCACATTTCTCTTGCGAAACGCAGCGAAGGCGACCTGGGCCAGCCGCGTGAACGGGCTGCCCCCGGGAGCCATCTTGACGTACAGTGGGTAGCCCGACACGAACGCGGTGACCGCGGCGAGCATGGCGATGGTGGGGACGCCGAGCCCCCACCCCCACCCCACGTTCTCCTGGATGTACACCACCAGGGTAATGGCGGCTAGCTTGGCGAGCTCGACGCCGAAGAAGTAGAGGTTGAAGAAGCTCCACCTCTGCTTCGCGCCGCCGTGGCGCGGCCTGTCGAGCTCAAACTGGTCGGCGCCGAACGCCATGACACACGGCCGCGTGCCACCAGTGCCTATGGACGTGCAGAGCAGCGACAAGTGAAGGACGAGGAGTGTCCAAGCGGCCGCGCGAGCGCAGGCATGCTGACCGATGGAACAGAGCGGCGGGCGGAGCGACGGGAGCAGCGCGGAGACGGTCAGGCTGACCATGCCGAGCTGGTAGATGATGGAACCCGCCGCGATGGTCCAGAAGCGGCCGGCGAAGGAGTCGGCGACGAGGCCGCCAATGACCGGGGTGAGGTTGGAGAAGCCATGGAAGTTGGTGAGCGTGTTGGAGGCCTCGACGAGCGGCAAGTGCAGCTGCAGCGTTAGGTAGGTGATCAAGTTGGCGTTGAACCCGATCGTCGCGAACCGGTCGCAGAAATCGTTTGCTGCAGCACGGATATCTCAGTTCATGTTTAACTTGAACAGTGGCTATATTATGATCGGCAAGCTGAGACAACTGATGCGTTGTGTAGTAGTAGAGAGTAAAGAAACACTTCACCTAGGATGAACGGCACGGTCTTGAAGGCGCCCTGCTTCCTCTTCTCGCCCAAATCCTCTTCGCTATGCCATCGCCTGCTGGCGTCTTCCTCCAACATTCCTGCAAGGTGTGAAGCAGCACGGGATCCAGATCAGAGGTCCCTCCCTAGGAGATGGATTAGGGAGAAAGAGGGGAAGAAGAGGGAGTTGAATTTTGACATTTCAGAGTTAACGCCTCCCCTGCTTCCGCTCTGAGTCGCCATGTGTTGTGATCTTGGTCCACGTTCCTGCTTGATTGTTTTTTAATGGGTAAAGTCTAATTTACGCCTTCTAATTTTTACCAAAGTTCGGATTTCAACATCGAACTTTAAAACCGGATAACTTTAGCCCTCCAACCCTCGAAACCGTTCAACTTTTTGGCGGTTTTGCGGGTGAACAGTAACTTTGATATTTTCGGAGGGCGTCGAAATTTTATATTATTTTTTCGAGCATCTTAACGTCATCAAATGAAAAAACTCAAAACTACAAAGTTGTAGATCTCATCGAGGTCTACAATTTACATATAAAAATTATCTTCATCCGACATCGTATTGATGGGTTTTCTATTTTTTGAAATTTGAGTCTCATCACGTGATAAAATATGGTGCTGAAATTTTATATTATTTTTTTGAGCATCTTACTGTCCTCAAATGAAAAAACTCAAAACTACAAAGTTGTAGATCTCATCGAGGTCTATAATTTACATATAAAAATTATCTTCATCCGACATCGTATTAAAGGGGTTTTTTTTTATAAATTTGAGTCTCATCACGCGATAAAATTGCAGGGACTAATCGCTTCGTTTCAGGGAAAAGAAAAGCCGATCTAATTAGTATCTCTGGACTCAAGTGTTGCAGCAATCAGTATCATAATAATCCGACATCTTAGCTGTCATGGATGCAAGTAGAATATGACCTTGGCAAGGCCAGTGTTAGTGCCGCTTGTGGCCGGAACTGGTGTCGGCGTCTACGTGAGATAGATGCGACCTGTCGCCATGGCAAATACTCCCGTAGCAGTCCTGGTCTGTTCGGCAGGACCGAAAAATACTGTTCTGTCTGATTGTTGTGAGAGAAAAATACTGTTCTGGCATAACGTGAATAGTGATTCCATGAGTTAGCTGGCTAGCCAGCCAACCGGCTTAAAGCCAGCCGAACACGCTCCCTATCTCTAATGATCTACTCCATCGTAAGTTATTCTAGTACATAACATTTGCTATACACATATATAATAAAAATAATGTATATTTAGAAAAGCTAGAACGACCTATGATTTAGAAGAGAGGGAGTAGTTTTTACACACTATCTAAACCTAAGGGTCCTAAAGCAAATAAAGATGACCTCATAGAAGATTAAGTGTTAGCCCACTAAAAATCATCAAGAACGATAAAATATTAGTTATGAAAAACTGGGTTTTGTTTTTTCTCTCCCTCTTCTCAACGTTGGAAAACCATATAGATTTCAATAGTAAGCATGTGTGGCACTGTTGGAGATACGGTAACTCATTCACTCATTGCACAACCTAAGTGAGGCCATAATTCACTACTAAAACATTTTTTTGACACCTATAAGGATCATGTGTCCATGATTATATCTTTAAGTTTCGGTGACTATACGACAACACAAGCTTAGGAATGTTTGACTCCTAAACTTTAGTCGTTGTCCCATCGGATGTTTGATATATGCATGGAGTATTAAACATAGACTAATTACGAAACTAATTACACATTTTACGACTAATTTGCGAGACGAATCTTTTAAACCTAATTAGTCCATGATTTGACAATGTGGTGCTACAGTAAACATGTGCTAATGATGGACTAATTAGGCTTAATAAATTCGTCTCATGGATTACTGACGGATTCTGTAATTTGTTTTTTTATTAGTATCCGAACACCCCATACGACACACTCATGTGACACCTCCTAAATTTTAGTCACTGAATCCAAACACCCCCTAACATATGTCCTAATGATGTGTCAGACATGTTATAATAGGTCCAAGAGATAAAAAAAGAGAAGTCGCATAAAAGACCGACAAAGAAATAGAGAAAAAAGGACTTTGTATACAAAAAATGCACGTATCGAAGCGAAAGGGCACGTAGCATAATGGTTACACACACCTCAGTAACACCTTAGGTCCTGGGTTCGACTCTCCTCGGAAGCAAACTTTTCAGGATTTAATGGCGTTATGCTTTCAGTGGACGTTTCCATTGACAGCGAGGAGCCTGCGGTCACTTCGTCAATCTCGAGGATTTGTTGGTCCAGTCTTCAAAGATACTCATAGGGGTAGGGTTTACATACGTGCGTTCGTAGCGATGAATGTACCTGCGTTGTAAGTGTCTGTGTTGTCATGTGTAATCGAAAAAAATGCACGCACTGAACGGTCTGTTGACTAATTAAGGAAATACAATAGGTGCTGAGGCACTCTGCAAATCAACAGATCAGACAGATCGGCCAAAAGAAGAGTCATATACAGTCTGTTCGGTAGCTCGTATCTGGTTTATAAGTCAACGAATAATATTTTTCTCTCATACCAAACTAGCCAGTAGTACTTTTAGCTATGGCTTATAAGTCAATCCAGCCGAAACAGGCTGTAATTGATGAACAGAAGCATCCAAGAAATTTTTCCACCTCGAAATATGCATGGGAGCACTCACCGAACAATCTGGCGTGAAGATAGAAGCCGGACCAATAATATTAGAGTGTTTGGTTATTAGTCATCAAGTTGTAAGAGCCAAGTTATATAATAGTAGTCTTTTATTTGTCTAAAAAAACTTTTTTATTGTTAGTTTTATTCATGCCCCGTCTTCTTTTTTCTAATCCTCCTCAAATTCACTTATGTATGGACTCACTACTGCATATGTATCCGTGTCTAGCTTACTTGTATAAGAGCCCAGCTCTCCTCTCTCTCTCTTCCAAAGTAATTGCTTGACTAGAGACCAATTGTACCTACTTTTATGATCAAGCTGGGCCCAGTTTACAAACCTCTCCGTTTTGGCTCAATTCCTCTCGGTAGGTTAAGTGGGGTGCTACTAGCTATTTGCCTCAGTTCCTCTCGGTAGGTTAAAGTGGGGGGCTACTAGCTATAAGGCTATGAGCATCATTGGATATGCCAGATCTTCATTGCACATGGCACATCCTAAAACTATTCCAGATAGGAGATAGAAGGCACGCACTAGCTGGTGCCTGCGCCTACATGTTATGTTTCAGATAGTGTCACAACAGTATCCATCTTTATCAATGTCCCTATGATCCTGTTCGCTTGTCTAATATTTTTTAAAAAATTGTATCAATTATGATTTTGATATTGGGTATTATACTTTTGTAATATTTCGACTCATTTTATCACGGCATAGAATTTTATAACATTGTGACAAGAAAACAACACCACAGCTGTAGAGGAAGTTATGAGCACAAGTCATTTAGACATCTTTCCGCAGGCCAAAATTTTGGGACAAAGTACCCGCCTGGAACCATTTAGTAGCAAAATGATTCCATATTTAGTTGCGGAACAAGTTTTGCAAGTTGAAGACATGATCTCACTGTTATAGATGCCATTTTCAGAAGTGGTCAGATTTGGTATTTAGAGACGGTTGTCGTGTTTCTACTCAGGATTCTCTAGAAATAAAATATTTTAGAGGTGGTGGGTCTGCAATCAATCCTCGAAATCAATTTTTAGGAGTGGTAGAAAAACCAAACACTCCTAGAAATAATTTATTTAGAAATTGAAAATCACTCATAAAAATAGAATTTTTAATTATTGATTTTTCCTGTGTCGGCTCGTCCCTAACGCTACACAAGACACCCACCTGTGGCTATGTATAAGATGATGTCATTTTATATTAACTTTCATGAATTTTGTATTGAATATTTAGGAATTAAAATGATCTCAAATAAAAAATATACTACATTTTAGACCTTGTCAAGCACTACACCTTTAGTATAGGCCATGTCTTCGTCCGAGGTCGTTCAAAAATTGAAAAAAAAAACTAAATTTCAAAATTTAAGAACTTCAAATATATACATGGGATACTAAATGATTTAAATAAAAAGTTGTCAACAAAGTTGTAGAACTCAGCATGCTCTACAACTTCGATACAAAGACCATCTTCATTCAACTTTATTTTGAAAAGGTATAAATTTTTTGTGCTACACTTATTTTAAGAGGTGGGTCACGTTACCGGTGAAAATTGATTTCAAGATGTGACTGGTGTTTTTGATTGCCCCTAGAATTGCATCTATTTCTAGGTGCGCCTCTAACACCAACAACTCCTGAAAATGTTGGACATTTTTACTACCCCTGGAAATCAATTTCTAGGAATGGTCTGCATTTGGAACCATTTTTAGGAGTAGTTTGTGATACAATTGCATCTTTAAAAAAGTAAAGTGATACTAAAAATCATTTTTGTAGTAGTATCTATGCATTACAAAAGCTATCTTAAATATTGAATTCATAACTGACCTAGTGGTATGACATGACCACTCTTGGGTAGACTATGTGATTAGGCCAAGCCATTATCTATTGACCGCGCTTAGCCTAACCCTGACCTGCCTAATCGTCCCCGTACTACCATCCATAGCACTACATCTAATTGGTCTCCATCCAGGATGAAAGCATCTAGGCCCCTAATTGGGTTTCGGTGATTAATGACGACACAAAATTATTATAACTAACGTGTGTTTTGTAGAGACAATTTGAGTTAGGTCATGGTAATGGAAATTGATTGGGCAATCATGATTGTCATGCCCTTGTCGATGGAAATCGTTTTGGTTTTCAAAGGATGGACGACAAGGTTAAGAACGGACTAGTTCTAAGTGTCGTTTGGTGTTGAAGAGACATTTAGAGTAGCTTAGGACTTTGTTTTTCCTTTGGCCATACTATTAATGGGGGTATGGACTAGTAGCTTAACCTAGGTGAGTCTAATGGATTAGGTGTGGTGCACACTTGTCAAACCTGGCACTAGGTAGCTCAGGAATAGCCCTAAGATCGATCACAAAGAATTTCAAATTGGAAGTAAATGAAGAGTCAAATGACCGACCGGACGCTGGTTTGGTTATGACCGGACGTAGCTTGGAGAGTCC